GACACCATTGAAACGTTTAAAGTTGCGATTAACAAGACCATCGACAAACGTTTCAAGACATAACTGCTGAACAAGTGAAATATAAGGGCACCATTGAAACGCTCAAAGAAGTGATGAACAATACCATCGACAAACGTTTCCAAAACATAACTGCTGAACAAGTGAAATATAAGGACAACATTGAAACGTTAAAAGAAGTGATTAACAAGACCATCGACAAACGTTTCCAAGACATAACTGCTGAACAAGTGAAATTTAACGACACCATTGAAAAGTTCAAAGTTGCGATTAACAAGACCATCGACAAACGTTTCCAAGACATAACTGCTGAACAAGTGAAATATAAGGACACCATTGAAAACGTTCAAAGAAGTGATGAACAATACCATCGACAAACGTTTCCAAGACATAACTGCTGAACAAGTGAAATATAAGGACACCATTGAAACGTTCAATGAAGTGAATGAACAATACCATCGACAAACGTTTCCAAGACATAACTGCTGAAAACAAGTGAAATATAAGGACACCATTGAAAGCGTTCAAAGTTGCAATTAACAAGACCACCGACAAACGTTTCCAAGACATAACTGCTGAACAAGTGAAATATAAGGACACCATTGAAACGTTGAATGAAGTGATGAACAATACCATCGACAAACGTTTCCAAGACATAACTGCTGAACAAGTGAAATATAAGGACACCATTGAAACGTTTAAAGTATCGATTAACAAAACCATCGACAAACGTTTCCAAGACATAACTGCTGAACAAGTGAAATATAAGGACACAAGTGAAACGTTCAAAGTTGCGATTAACAAGCGCATCGGCAAACGTTTCAAAGACATAAATGCTGAACAAGTGAAATATAAGGACACCATTGAGGCGTTCCAAGTTGCAATTAACAAAACCATCGACAAACGTTTCCAAGACATTACAGCTGAACAAGTGAAATATAAGGACAGGATTGAAACGTTCAAAGTTGCGATTAACAAGCGCATCGACAAATGTTTCCAAGACATAACTGCTGAACAAGTGAAATATAAGGAAACCATTGAAGCGTTCAAAGTTGCGATTAACAAAACCATCGACAAACGTTTCCAAGACATTACAGCTGAGCAAGTGGAATATAAGGGCACCATCGAAACGTACATACTTGCAATAAACAATTCATTGGACAAACAATTCGAATATATTTCTGCTAAGCAAGTCAAATACAGGGATGAACTAAAAGAATTTTTGGAATATAAGGAAAAGGACACAAAAAGTTATCTCAGAACTGTATTTTACAACATTTCTACATTCAAAAGTAAACTTAGGGCGGATGTAAATGAAAATAATGATAGTATCAAAGAAATGGATGAAAGCTTTCAACGTATTTCATCAGACCTTGCATCATTACACATGAGAGTAGAAGATAACAGAAATACGGTTGATACTCTGAGTACATTACTGATAGAAAACAAAGGTAAATACTTGATTTTTTATCATGGTTCACTCTGGCGTGTGTTTACATTTAATGCATAAATTTGGTTTAGACAGTAAATATCTAATTGGTATGAAAATGTTTAAATTATCATAATTATTGTCTAACAACATTGACCTGGCACTCTTGCATTTGACCCTATAGTCGATAAATTCCGGAAACGTTACTATCTACTTGTAAATCGATATGAATGTAGATAAGCAGGTTTTAAAAGGTCTAAATTAAACAATCCCTCTTAGCTCAGTCGGTAAAGGTCTTTCACTTCAAGAATATATAGAGGTAATCTCGTAGGTTAGAATCCTGGCTCATCCGCTTCAATGTCTTTTTTATGTGTGTATTCTATTTGTGTATTTATTTTTATTTGTATTATAAACGCGCTGTACTTTTATTTATAAAAGATGATATAATGAAATAGAAAATATAATGTATAAAAAAACTACTTAAAAGGTACTTAAAACCAGATGTAGTAAAACGATTTCAAATTAATTCATGCAAGTTAATTCCAAAATAAAGTGTATCTTCATAATATAGTCGTTAGATAACAGTGTTTATTCAGTGACTTTTACGAAAATTAATGAAGTGCCAGGTCAATATTGTTGGACAATAATATATTAGATTGTAAACTAATTGCTAAACCATTACACCAATCTTGGGAATATAGCAATGATAACAGACGACGACGTTGCTGTAATGTACGTACAAATTGAAATAGATTCTATTGAAAATATAATATCCTTACTATTCTTATTTGTTTGTCAATTATAAAAAAGGCACAGTTATCAAGACAATTAAACGCAAATCGAACTTGCAATCTGTATCATTGGCTAGGTTTTTCTTCATAAAATATTAGTTCATTTATAGCTTTTATCATTCATATAAATATTGACTTTATTCTTGAAGTTCGATTGATGAATGGGTCACATCCATATGAAGGGAGACTTGAAGTATGGCATGAAGGGTCTTGGGGAACAGTATGCGATGATGACTTTACAGCGCAGTCTGCAACAGTTGTTTGCAAGATGTTAAATTATCCACAGTAAGTAAGAAAAACGACACTTACTTATTGCTCAATGTCTTAACATACATATTATATAGAAAAGAATGTATTTAATTTCAAACCGAATGGATTACGTAGAAAGGTAATAAATTGTTATTTGACTATTCAGAAAACACAACATTCAGCCAATGCGTTGTCGCTAATCCGAAAAAATCATGTTTACTAAAGGAACCAACTGTCAGATATTTAAAATCACGCCACAGTTAGATCATAGAATTTTAACTGTGTCCCCGATTTTTTTCCGACACAAAAAATGTCATCGATACATGTATTGATTTCATAACCTTCTCATTTAAATCATGTCGATATTTAGCTCATTTGTGCACGTTAAGTGCTGAGAGGTGAGCTATTGCGATGCGTATATCTTCATCTTCCGTTGCTTCTAAACTAAAGTTTTTTTTTTAAAACCATAAAATTGATTTTGATCAAACTTCACAGGAATGACTGTTTAATTCTGATGTCAGGGTCAGAAAAGCTAAAAATAAGATGCTATAATGTCCCAGATTGATATCAAGCATGTAGCATACACATTTGACATATGGTCCTCAACAAAGTCAAACTTTTTCCCCTGGATCAAAGTTGGTTTCGCAAAAGTAATAGAGACTGATATAAGTAAACATCAATTTAAATCATGTTTAAATACTACAATTCATAGACCTTAGATGTTTTGATGTAACATTTCCTAATTAAGATTTCATATATCATGCAGCTTGGCTAAACAATATTATACCCAATGTGATCTTATCCCTTTTTAATTAACAAGATAAATATTACTTACGTTCAGATTGTAACGGAAATGTGCATTAAAAGTGGCCTTAATATCTCTCATGTGATACAGTTTAAGGAAGACCAAAAATAAAAAAAATCATAATACATCTTGAATTTATTACAAACCTTTCAAACATGTTAATTTTATTAAAAAAAAACATTCTCAAGTTTAATCAAGCAGTTTTGTTTAATTTGAAAAGAAGTGTTTTCATTTCCAATGGCAAACATGTTGAGATCCAAGGGAATAACTCGTGTCATGTCTATCATGATAAAAAACGACAGTTATATCATTTTTAGAGAAACATATCTACGGATGATTTTTAATTCAAATTTCACCACTTCATTTAAATATTGAATACTGCTTAAGCCCTGATATAGGGCGTGTACGGTAACTTACAATGTCAAAGGCTAAATCAAACCGAGTCTGGAACATTTTCAGTTTTGCCGTTTTGTGTGTTCTGAAAGAATTCTGTTTTTCTGTATTTAAGTACTAATCCTTTGGTATTTATGTCCGCATACTTCGGCGCCGGAAGTTTGCCAATACACTTTGACGATTTTGAATGTACTGGAACTGAGATAAGCTTACTGCAATGTCCACATAGAAGTTGGGGATCAAATAATTGCAGTCATAGTGAAGATATCGGCATATCATGTACACAAGGTATTCTTTTTAGAATATGATATAATAGAAAAATAATTATAGAATACGATATTTTAGTTATATTTTTAATCTAAAGTCGGCAATTTACAGAAGAAAAAGAAAAATCTGGGTCTCCTTTACTACATAATGATCGTTAAACTATCCTAGAGCAACAGACATTTGTTCTTTGACAATTTATGTGAAAGTTGTCATCTTTTTATGGGGAAGTAGGTTGTATATTGAACTACAATGTATTGGTATTTTTAATAAAAAGCCTACTGTTTTGAACAAATTCATAACACTTGGGATATACAAGGGTGTTTGAAGCTATTAAAAGGTAAGAATTTGATATACTATAAACTCATAAAATTGAAACATTTTTAAAAATGTATATATAAAAATAGCAACACACAACATGATGAACAATGATGATGTAAACACCATGGCAACTAAGTGAATTGCGACGCTCGTCAGACGTCAAAGACACCGTTTAATCTTCATTAAGCTTTTCTCGAAGTACTTCTCGTGGTGATCAATGCATAAACAGTGCCGTTAATTACAGATTTAAGTTTGTTATTTCTTGTTGCATGTATGATAAGAAACGATATACGATTGAAAAGATAAAGATATTGATACACATATTATGTAAGTAAATAGCCTAAGAGACAACCTGAATAATATCTAAAATTGTAATGTTAATTTTATTAGGAAAAGCGATTAAAGATATATAGCAAAAAAAAAAAGAATTTATTATCCTATATCAATATTATTAATGCATAATCACTCAATCAAACGAGGTTCAACATTCGCCATTTGCTTTAATTACCCTCGAAGAGTTTTTAATAATGTAAACGATCCGGGATTCAAAATTTTCTGTTCTTTATATGGCAAAAACGATATTATAAAATATATACTATCTTTTCCATTAATTGCTTGTTAGTCCCCTACCGGTTAAACCGGACGGGACTTCAGGTTTACAGTCCGTCTGTCCTAATGTTCGTCCACAAAACTGGATTTTACACAAAAAGTTCTGAAACTATTTTTCATGAAACACGACATAAAGGTTAATTGCAGTCTTGAAATTATGCACGTTTTTATTTCTTTTCTTCCTTTGTTGAAACATTGGTAGCAATAAATAGGCTTAAAATATAACAAATATAAAATTTAATTTTGTGATTACTCAAAAAGTGTTGAAAACATTTTTTTAGAAACTTAAACAGTATACACGTCAATTTCATCTTGACTATAGGTAATATATTGAGAGCTGTCTTACCAGGCGTCGGTGTCCTTTCCAAGATTTCTGAAGTTTTTTTTAGTCTTTTCACTTTGATATTCTTAAGGTACTTACTTTAAACTTCAAATACATGTTTCTGATTATCATCCGGTTCATGTTACAATGATCACAACTTTAGAACAATAAATCTTGGAATAACCTTCCTTGAATTTAGAGTTTTCGTGAAAAAAGTTCTTTAATTTACAACTTCTTTATCTATTAATCTACTACGAACTTGATATATATGTTTTTTATAACATGTATCACTCAAATCATTTGTGAGAAGGTTCAATACTCTAGTTTGTCTATTTCCAGAATTATTTCCCCTTGGACGAAGATTTTATTCTAGAATCTTTTTCTTTTTCCTTAAACTTTATCATTTCTTATAGCATTTGCTTCAAACTCTCACGTCTTGATAATATGACAAGGGTTATAAATCTAGCGTCCATATTTCCAGAATTATCTCCTCTTTAAACTTCGAATTGTTCCTGAACTTTCTTCTTTATTCATGGATTCATATTGAATTTTATATATACATTCATTATGCTGCACCTGCATCATATGTAACTGGATTTATAAGTCATGGCTTTCCATGATAATTTTAATTTTGAACTTGAAATTTATTTGAAAATTATTCTTTCTTTTTTCAAATTTGCTTCCTTGTTACTGTAAATGGTATATTTAAAAAATGTTATTTTTTTCACTTTTCTTCTTTGTGACTATAAATGGAATCTTCTTTAAACTTAAGATATTTGTTCTATGCTACTCTCACATCATGTATGACAATGTTCATAAGTATAGCATCTTTATTTCAAGTGTTATCTCCCTTTTACTTTAAGACTTTTGCTTTTAAAATGTTGCGTTTCGGGTTTACAACCAGAAATGATTAAAGATTTACCCTCAAAGTGTCTTGCAGTCCTTCTGTCAGTCCGTTCCTAAAAACTTGTTCCTGAGATCACTTCTAAAGACGTTGAAACTTTTCCAACAAATTAACTTAAACTAGAGAAAAGTTGAAACATTACTTATAATACATATTCATCCTTAGAAAAGTGGTTCTTTTAATTACTTGTTGAATAAAAAGAATTCCTTACCAGGCAGTGAAAATGAACACATTTGTATGATACAGACAAACTAAAAACACAAAAGATTTTTATGTCATCCATTCAATGGCCAATTGCTATTCAGAATGTCGCTTGGGTTCTAACCGGTAGGGGACTTATAAGTTTTTTTTCAAATTGTGGATCGCGATATGCTGTTGCTTATTGAAAATGAGCATGTGTAAGCTATCGGGTAGATCTCCCGACATAACTTTTAACTCATATAAGCCAGTCCTAGTAAGAATGAATTCCTTAATACTTTGTAACATGTTCAAACTTCGGTTATTTTTGATAAAAATATTGATATGTCTTTAGGTAATTTTAGAAAATACTTTGCATCCCTTAACAATGTCATCGTGTTATCAAAGTGTTCAAAGTACATATGAATGGGTTATTATTTAAAAAAACAACATTATTTTCAGTTTGCACTTGGACAAACATTGATTTAGGGGAGATGGGTAATACAATTGTAGTTATAGTAAAGCGACAATTCTGTTGTCTGAAAATATCATGGCCCGGAACGACATTACTTGTATTTGTTGCTAGAAAATCATCGAGTCTCTTAAGGTCAAAGCAATGTGATTTTCATATAAGAGATAAGAGTAAAGGTACGATAAGCTGAAACTGTTTTGTCGCATCAGCAGAAATAAAAAATCGGATTCGGCAGTAGTAAACTTTAACCTATATTTTCTTGTTATTGGATTGTATTCCCCCATTCTGAACTTCGGTTAGTTTTAATGGTAACTTATATCTTCTGTTAACTCTTATGAATTTTAAGTCGTTCAGAAATATAGCTGATTTGGTTTGATGACTACAGTCGCACAAAAAGATTGCTGTAAGTGTAAATCATTATAATATATTAGTATATACTAGCGGTCAAAGATATAGGGTTGTAGAATGAATTTTAAATAAGATTTAATGAAAGCTATTACTTGTTATCCCAGATACTTAGAAGTGATAAAACTGCGAATTGTGCTTATCAGTAAATGGTTTATACTCACCTTAAAATTAATTTTAGGATCATTTTAAATATATGCGTCTAGGATACAGATTTTTATTCCTAAACGATGGTCCCGAATCTAAGAAAACCCGCCGCCAATCTGAATGTTTTTTAACTAGTGAACCACATGTACTTGGAAACATTCCAGGGACAAGTGTTGTTGTTATTTTAGCTCAATTGAGCACAAAATAATCAGGGGTGAGCTCTGCGTCCATCGTTAATTGCTTCAGTTTTTTTCTTTAAACAACATCTCCTCCTATACTAATGTGCCTATTTTGTTTAAACTGAGCAGGCATGTTCCTGGATGAATCTTTTTAAAAATCATTGTTCAAAGTATTCCATTCCATGCTTACTACTGGTTGACATGTCAACCGAAACAAAAAAAACCCTTAAAAATCCTCTTCTAAATTACCCAAAGAGCTACAGCTTAGATATTTAACATGTAACATCTTCTAGTGAGGTTATCCTATGTTTGGAGGGGTTGACATTGGCCCATTTCCATGATGCATTTTCTGGTGAGTGTCTACCAAGTTTGATTTTATAAAAACCTAGTGGTCATAATTGGCCCCACCCCACGGGGTCATCGATTTTTCTTATAATTATGTATATGTTCAATAAAAAGCTTATATTATTCTATAGATGATTTTCATAAGCTATTTGGTATGGACCAATACCAACTTTTTTTTATCAAATTATAGGCTTGTGATAAAAAATGGCTCCACCCCAGGTGTCCAAAATTTACTTAGACAAGATATAGAAAAATACATTTAAGTCTTATTTTGTTATTCAAAAACGTCCAGAGTTGAAGTATTTGGCATGTAGAATTGTCTTGTGGGTCCTATATTTAAGTTTTGTAATTGATGACCCTTGGATAAAAAATGACTCTGTCCTTTGGTCACTCATTTTACACAGTCTTATATACACGAATGCATAACAGATCATAACATTCTGGCTTAATTTTCGCCATTTCATAAGATAACGTTAAGTTTGTACATTCATACTAAGAAAATAAATACGACTTTTAATCATAATCTTTTTATTTATGATGACTTAATATATCAAGAAAATATTTATATAAATAAAAAGTAAATGTCGAAATCTGCTTTAGATTAACTTATTTTACATTGACTTATATACATATTTGCATTACTGCTTCTAGGATACTATAGAAGCCAGTGAGCAAGCTTAGATATTTGGCATGAAATATTGTCTGGTTGACCTCAACAAAAATAATTCAAATTATAACGCTCGGGTCAAAGTTGGTCCCGCCCCGAGGAACAAAGATTTGATGTGTATATAGTAAAACTTTTAAAAATAATTTCTTCTCCATATCTACAAGTTAAGTTTCCATAGCAACCAGTGACTTCATAGCAGCCATTGACTTTTCATAGCAAACTGTATTTTTTCATAGCAATCAGTGACTTCCATAGGAAAAACCAACTGTTCATAGCAACGAGTGAATCTACCATGGATTTCAAAGCAGGCACTGACTTCCTAGAGAAACCTTTATTTTGTATGACAGCCAGTGCGGTGTGCAATGCAGTAATACATAACTGTTGTTTTCCCTTACCAATAGCAACCAGAAAAGTTTTTCTTGTGCTCTTTTTCAGATACAAAAGTGAACTTTGTGATATCACTTTAAGATTTAGATTTTATATCTGCTTTCGTTTAGAGTAAAAAATAATTATTGTTTCTTGTCATCAAAATTATAAATTTTCAGATAAGCTGTTTAAGGTCTATCACGTCTATGGTCACGGTTATACATTAACAAATAATTAATGTTTATTTATTCTGAGATATTATATATCCGACCGTCGAATATCGTTTTAACACCTGTATACTGGTTTGTTTGCAGTACTATTTTGTTCCTTTTATTCTGCCCGTGTTTCCCCATTTTGTTCGCTCACAGGCATTTATTACGAGGGGACAATGGGCAGCTTTTTTTTTAAATGACACGAACGTGTCACATTAAATTTTCTATGATAACCATGGTATGGAAACATTTGAAGTTGTTTTTAAATTAGAATTTTAATTTCATATAAAAATGTTAAGTTTCGCTTGAGTCGGTGCTGGGGAATATCTTTTTCCGGTTTTGGCGTTCTATGTTTATTTTCGTCTGACATATCCCTACAAAGATCAAAAGATCAAGGTTACGAAATGCCGTCAAGGTCACAAGTTATCTTGTTTAAATGATCACCAGACTAAGTCTTTTTAGTTGTTGTTTTAAAGACTTTACTCGTTACTTTAATAGGAATGGGATTTTAATAAGGCAATGACATCTAACTGACTTCCTTTATGACGATGGGTGGACTGTTGATAACCAATTCGTCGCTTCCAAGTCATATCGCCATGACATTTTAAGTTTTACCCATGACACACCGATGCCAGACCATTTAGGTATTACTAATAAATATGTCACACTGTCCGAGGACCCTCTAAACATCCTGAAACACAATTTTATTTTGTTTTTATATCATAATATGATGCTCAATTTAAGATTTCTCAATTTTGTAAGTTCCAAAAAATATTTATTTATAAAGATTTTACCGAATTTGCCATTTCATGTAAATAAAAGGAGGTAATAATAAACTTATTTTCTATAAAGTCTCAACCAATTTTTTTAATAAGAAATGAATGCATATGTAATAGAAAGAGCACCGAAACGCGAGGTTATCTGATTTGTACGAGGGGGCGTAGCCCCCCCCCGAGTATTAATCAGATTACCGAGTGTTTTTGGTGTTCTTTCTCTTTTGTATCATAGTCAAACATAAAAACACGTTCCCTGTTGTTACAATATGAAACCCCGGCAAAAATGAACCAATGAACGAGCATCTAAATATGACATTTCTGTCGATTTCACTTTCACTGCCGTCACAATATGTAAACCCCAGCAAAAATGAGCCAATCAATGGGCATGCTCTGGAGTGCGGGTAACTAATACCCGCACTCCAGTTAACGCACTGTGCATGTATATGTATACGATTTAACCCTGACACATTTTCAACAGAAAGGTCTCCAAACTATGATACAAATTAGAATTATTACATATAATATGTACAAATATTTGCAGTACATCTTCGATGTTTGAAAATCGTTTTATAAGCATAGTTATATACATATATATAATTTCACTTAAGTGTTGTATGCTACATACAGGATCTTTAAACTTTAGACTCTTTAACTCTATAAGATAAGAGTAAAAATAATTATTGTTTCTTGTCATCGAAATTATAAATTTTCAGATGAGCGGTATAAGGTCTATCACGACTATGGTCACGGATATACATTAACAAATTAATTAATGTTTATTTATTCTTGAATGTTTATGTTTGAAAATCGTTTTATAAGCATAGTTATATAAATATATATAATTTCACTTAAGTGTTGTATGCTACATACAGGATCTTTAAACTTTAGACTCTTTAACTCTAAAAGAATAATTTCTCTCTGTAGTGAATATTTCGTTGAATTTATTACAGGATGTTTCTGCTATAGAACTGGACTTTAAACTGTCATTAGTGACAGGTCATATCTTCATTAAACACATTGTTAAATCAAACAAAATAATGATAAAAGAATTAAAAGAATAAGCTTTAAACTAAGAGATATTTTCTGCCTTTTCTGTCATGAAGGCATTTACAAGCTAGATATGTTTGTCCTTATAATTTAAAAAATAAAGAATTTATTCTGTTATTTATACTCTTGTGGGCAAAAGAAAAAAAACAAATGTTCATACTAAGGTTTTGAATAAAATGTTCAACAGGTATCATTTGAAATGTAGTATTGTCTCATTTGTAAGCTCAGTTCCACAAAACAATGTTCTTTATCATGATATATTTAAAAAAGTCTGATCCAGGATCACCCAAGCTTAAAAATACGGATATTATATAGCCAGGTTAAATGGTTAAACACAAAGGTCACCAGGAACTGTAAATATAAAATATACAGCTGGTCATGAAAGTAAAATACATTGACTTAGGAACGTTTTTACTTTGTATGTATAAGCATCTTCATTAGTTCATTCAGCCACATCTATTAAATTCAAAGCTATTGAAAATAGCTGTTTACTTCAAACTTGATGCTATTGTTCTTTATCAAAAATGAAGTCATATTTCAAGGTCAGGCATACCTTAGAAATTTAATAGTCAACAAAGTTATGTTTATTTTTACTTATTTAATTCCAAAAAAGTATCAACGACATTAACTTTTTTGTAGTATTTGTTCAATATCGAAATTTAATTGACAGGTAATCCTGAAAGCCATGTTTGTTTAATTATCCTATATTGACCAAAAAAGTTGCTCCTGGTAATAGTGACTGATCAGATAAAAATATTTATGGTTAGATGCCCTGTTACGTTTAAAAAATATATCTTAACTATTTATTTCAATAGAATTGACTTTTTTTAATCATAATCAATTATTTTATTAAGTAAATTTTAAAATTGATGATTGTTTACTTAAATAAACAGTTTAAATTTGATTGCTTAAAACGAAACAGGACATTTTACCATGTTTATTTAATCTGGTCAATCACTATAACCGAGAGTTGTACGAGTAGCAGCGTGTCCAAGCGAAAGAAAAGAAGGAATACTTGATATGCAAAACTCATATGGGATTACCTGCTAAGTAGTAAACACGTAGATTTGCAGAAAATGGTTCGAAAATATTGAGTTTATAACAGCAGAACAATTCACATGTAATCTCTCATTTAAAGTATTTTCACACTAAAAGAAAGATATCAAGTTACTTATCAAATGCTTAATATTTTAAAATGATCTCGTTCGTTCTTACATATATTTGCCAAATAATGATAATTAATCGTACGGTAAACTATGAGGCTGAGATAAATACTTCTCTGTTCTATAAGGAAGTATTTATTTATAATAAAAATACTGTCATTTTGTGAATATTTAACTTTATGGATACCTTAAAGATGTTTATACCCAACCCTGTTGTAAATACTACAATTTCTTGTGTGTCAGTCATCTGCTGTCATCCACATTTTCTTTAATGGCATATCCTTAAAAAATTGCTAAATAACACAGACATGATCTTTAGGTTTCCACAATCTACAAACGTTTTTTCTATCAAATTTACAAAAATTAACTGGAGCTAATAATTGACTTCAAAAAGAAATTCCCTAAGCAATAAAAATGCTGTTAGCTTTGATATTATTGGTAGATATTACTATCATTCTTCAAAATTTAAATAGATAGCCTGCAAGGGATTGGAAATAAACCGTATTAAGTTTTGAACATTTAACTTACAAAGGAGTGAATATTGTTAATGTTAGTTTTGATGCTTATTTATTCTTACAAAACAGGGGAGGTATATACAAAATGTCTAAGTTAATAAGGCACCTCCCTTTCTTCGACGCGTAGACTTGTTGTACGTGTAGTGTTAGATAAATTGATATGATAGTTTGGCATGGGCACTAACAATACGATCATTATATCAAATTTTTTTTCAAATACAAAAGTTAGATTATATAGTTACAACTTCACAAAACTTTGCGATAAAGCAATCGTGAATGACGACAACGTTCCTGTAATTGATATTTTATGAAATATATAATTTTTACTACACTTGTTTGTCCATGATATTGACCGATACAGTAACCAACTCAACTGACTGGTCATTTATTATAAAACATTATCGTATATATAACTGTTAAAATTCTTGTATTCTTGAAGTTCGATTGGTAAGCGGGTCAAACCAATATGAAGGGAGACTAGAAGTATGGCATGATGGGTCTTGGGGAACAGTATGCCAGGATTATTTTACAGAGCTGTCAGCAAAGGTTGTTTGTAAGATGCTGAATTATCAACAGTAAGCATCAAACATTAGTTATTTATTTCTGCATATGTTAACATATATGTCTTGTAAGATGTTGATGATTACCAACAGTAAGTAAAAAACTTATTTTTGTATTATGTAGTAATGCATGTTATAAAATAAAGAGTAGATGTCTTATTGATCTCTTTTTGTTTTGGAGTTATTGCCCTTGACTTAGTTAAAATTTCCAATTTTCAATTTGTGTCGCACGTAACTAAAATTTTTTTGACCTAGAGTCGTGAAACCTTACATGAATGTTGTTCGGCATGTGTAGTTGTGCTCCTGGGTATTTTCGTGTGGATATTTTTAGTATTTTTAGAGTTATTGCTCTTGACTTTGTAAAACTTTACAATTTTCAACTTGTGTTGCACGTAACTCAAAAGTTTTTGACCTAGAGTCATGAAACCTCAAAGGAATGTTGGTCAGCATGTTGTGCACATAGGTTTAAGCTTGTGGATTTATTCTGTTTTGTCAGAGTTATAACCCTTTACTTAGCAAAAAATAGCAATTTTCAACTTTAGTTGTTCATTGCTCAAAAAGTATTTGACCAAGGGTCATAAACTTTACATGAATGTTGATCAGCATTTGAAATTGTGCACCTAGGTATTTTCATGTGAATTTATGTAGTATTTGTAGAGTTATTGCCCTTGATTCATTAAAAAATGGCAATTTTTAAATTGTGTTGCACATAGCTCAAAAGTATTTGACCTAGGGTCATAAAACTTTACAGGAATGCTAATCAGCATGGGGAATAGTGCCGTTGGGTTTTGCTTGTAAAATTATTCTGTTTTGTGAAAGTTATTGCCCTTGACTTTGTATAACATTTTCAATTTTCAACTTGTTCGTGCATAGCTAAAAAATTATTTGACCTATAGGCCTGAAAGTTTAAAATAATGTTTGTCAGCATATGTACTTATGCACCTTGGGGTTTGCTTGTTGATTTATTCAGTATTTGTATTTCTTGCCCTATACTTAATAAAAGATTTTTAGTTTTCAACTTGGGCACATGTAGCCACAAAATATTTGACCTAGAGACATAAGATTGACAAATCAGTGGAATGTGGGGGCACCCGTGTCCTATTTCTAGTTCACATTTCTAGTTATAAGTCACTTCACAAAAGTATGTTATGGAACCACATTCATTCCTTTTCCACTAGTCCTCAATTAAAAGCACGGAATACGTATTCGAGTTTTCTACGTACCTTTGAAAACCTTTCAATACACACATGATCAGCAAACTATGTACTGAAATATTTACATTCGTTATTAGATCTGGTCAAAATTTGAATTACCTGAACACAAAACTCTCTGAGTCGAGCTTTTGTAATTGAAGTGTGTCTGTCGATCGTTGTTCTTTAAACAACATCTCCTTTCAAACAACAAAGAAGATTGTGACTAAACATAACAGGAATGATCCTAAGTTGGCCCTCTTTAAAAAATATTATATGCATATGGTCACAAGAACTAAAATAAACTCTACAATGCCTCATAGTTTTAATATATTGCTTGCTATATCAAACCGTAGGCCTTTAGAGAAGTTTCACAATTCATTATCTTGTGATCATAAATTGTCCAGTCCAGACACCACTTAGTTAATAGAGACTAATATAGTGAAACAGTTAAATCTTCTTGTGAAATTATCCCATTCCCAGTGCTAATATATTTGGCATGTAGCACTGCTTAATAGACGTCTATGGAATTAAACATTACATAAATCATGACCCATGGTCAAAAAGGTGTCACCAAAGTACTCAGAATGTTTACATAGGTTGGTAAAGTAAACATGTGTCTTAAAATGTTTCTCAAAATCTTAAGCACACGGAAATTATATATGTTGCATGTAGCATTATCTTTTGGTTTCCTACAAAACTTACTTAAATCATGTCGCTATGTTATAATGGCCCCGCCCTAAGATTTACTTAAATTTAATAGACGTTTATAGTAAGCATGTCTGAAACATCATTTCCCCAGAAACTTTAGTGCTCAAAGAAAACGTATTTGGCAAGTGGTCCATTTCAAGGTAATGAAATAATTTCCCCTGGGATTAAAATTGATTAAAATAGACCAATATAGAAAAATTATTTTTTTTACACCCAAATAATCATTTTGTAATGTATGTGTGAAAAAGGAATTGATATTCAGACTTGGACGTTCATGTACATACAGTTGTATGTAAGAAAACAATTTATTTGATTCCCAAAAGAAATGTACATGTATTTATTTTCGATAACAACATATTGATATTATAGAGATTTACTGATTTGTATGTTGTGTTAAAATCGACTGATATGATTTATCATTTTAGTACTAATTCTCTGGTACTTTGGCACGCACACTTCGGCATAGGAACATTGCCAACACATTTGGACGATGTTAAGTGTACGGGAACGGAAATAAGCTTATCTCAATGTCCACATAGAGCATGGGGATCTCATAATTGTGGTCATCATAGAGATGTCAGCATATCATGTACTCCTGGTAATTATTTAAAAGTCTATCATTAAAATGAATTATCGCATGGTTTGGAACTTTTCCTTTGTTCTTACTAACCCATTATACTCAGTACACTTCAATGAGTGACTGAAAACTGTATTGATATATAACAGTACAGTTTTTTCATTGATTCATATAGGAAAAAAAAGACTGTTATATATCGGTCGAGTTATTTTCGCACCTTGTATATATCAATGCAGATTTTTTCATAGAGGCTCCAATAGGGCAGTGGTAACGACCATTCCAAGTAGCAAAAAAAAATAAAAAATATAAAAAAATAATAAAAAAATTGGAATAAATAAAATAGAATAAAATAAATATATAAATACAATGAAAAATATAAACAAAGATAATTAATGAAATGAAATTTACTCTCATTTAATCAAAAGTTACATCCGCTGAATGAATTATTTCCACTGAAAAAAGCCGTTTAATCTTGACAGTTTACAATCCGCCTCTAACAATGGATGTCTTTTGTATATTTTCTTTTGCGGCAACGAAAACTACTCTTATCATAAATAACTGTAATGTAGCTAAGAATTTATTTATTTATTTGTTTCTATAACAAAAAAGAAAACATGTCATTGCGATAAAACAGTTATAGTACATGAAACTCGTTAGTTACGCGGGTATAACCCTGGCTGGGGCGACATCTCGGGATGTTTCTGCAAAAAAAAATTGTCTCTTTTTTAGCAGAAACACCCCTTGAGTCGCCCAAGCCAGTGTTATATCCTCGTAACTAACTCGTTTCATGTACTATAATTATTACATAATTTCTTTTGAAAATCACATTTAACTTTTATCCATATATCTGCACAAAATAAATTTTGATTTGAATGGTTTGCTGTTTAATAAAGTTTCGACCTCAACATGAAACAACATTATTCATATAGACAAATAAAGTAGAAGAAATGACCGTTTAGAGTAAACATGTAATTAAATTTTGAAAATAAACTTAAACCTTCTTACTCTATTGAATAAAATTTCATTCATTTGCTGATCTGCAATTTGAGACATAGCTATATTTTATGAGAAGCTATATAACTATCATTTTCTTTAGAAATTTTTCATTTCTTATATATGAGCGGCTTGATCTTGGTACGGGTCATATTTAGAATATCAAAACCTTTATCGACTGAACTTAAAAACTTTAGATACATTTTTAACATACTGATTTTAGTTATGTAAAATATGCCATTTTTCAGTGACATTTTTGAAACTTTGCTTTGTTGTCTTTGTTGTCATTTATAAAAAAGCAATGCTGAACTGTTAAGTATTAGCTTTAAATTAAACAGTAAGACAAGCAGTTATGCTTTCTCATTATTTATAAGTTAATATAACTAATCCCAGTAAACTACATGTAATGGCTGAAAATGACACTTCACTTAATATATTTGTTTTTCCGCATGTGTGTGTTGTTAGGGTAGAAGTCCAATACTGGCCACTGAAATAGGACCTCAACAATTCTGAAAATGGAATTGTTTGAATGATTTCTGATAATATGTAGTAGAACAAAATGTCCACCTCAATACTTTAAATTATGATGTTAGAACTATCCTTATAGCGGATGAAACTGGTACTTTTAAAGTCATTCCATTTGGTAGTCTAGTTAGTTCTTAACCTAACTACACGTTATTGGCATGGGCTAATCATAATGCTAATACCTTAAACAAATCTAAAATCTTGTTAAAAGACGCAAAACAATGCATAAATAAATATGCATTGATTTGTAAATTAAGCTTCAAACTTTGTTATTCTAACACTGTTAGTTTAAACAGATTTAGCACAAGTGAGCACATAAATTGCTCAGAGGTGAGCAGCTATGCTGCTGTCCGTCATTCAGTGTTATTTATATCTTAATCAAACAACATATCATCCTAAAAGACATGCTAGATTTTACACAGGAACAATCCTAAGGTGGTCCTCTACAAATAATAAACTGCAGCACGTGTTGATCAGAATAGCTAAAAAGACTTGTTTAACTTAAGAAATAAACGCAAAAGTGTATGATTTATTTACACAAATGAAATTATGAAGAGTGATGATCCAAAATAAAGAAGAATTTTGCTGTCAATATTATATATGTCCTCCTTTTGTATACAAAATGACATCATCATAAATGGAAATATGTCAATATAGACAAATAGTTATTGAAAACCGACCTACAAAACAAAATGGTTACTATGACCTACACGGAGCACGTGGTTTCTCATGTCATAACGTCGTTTACATCGTTTTTTTTATATTTTAGACGCCATTTCCTTAACTACCAGCGACATGATTACAAAACGACTATCTGTTCATGTTGTTTAATCAAATTAATTTCATAAGCTCTCGATGGTAATGAATATTTTAATGGAAAATGACTGTAATAAATTGTTGGTTATACAATTCGACACTTATACTTTTAGCTGCATGTAGATCCTGAGGGTATCAGGACCGCATTTCCTTAACTGTTTCCCTATGGATTAATATAAAGAATTGATTGATATAATTATGTTGTATACATGGGCCCAGTTGTTAAAAACTTTTGTTTACTTTAACGACAAATTAACTTAACTATTGATATATTTTAACATTTTCGTTGGCTAAAGAAATATCAAAATTTGAGTTGTTCAGAGCAATGTTAAATTTTTCGTTAGTTAACAATGCGTTAAAGTACTTAACGTTTCGTTAACAAACTAACACAAAAATCCAATAATGCAGTGTGTTACCTTCCTTAAAAATGCGAAAAGGCCGATTACTCTTCAATCTAATAAGAAATACTTAAAGAAAATCAACTAAAGTACATTGATTGCAAAATACAACTGAGTCATAGTATAATTGAAAATGAAAACTCATGTAATAAGTCTTTTTTGACTATTTGGTCATGAACATAGTGCAACCAGTACCCCAGGACCTATATGAAATTGAATAACTTAACTGTCTTTAGGAGTGATTTATTTCAAAGTGTATGTTCTACCTGCATATTTTTTGTATAATGCCAGTATATTATGCTGGTTACTTTGTGATCACGTGTATATTATATGTAGACTTCTCCAGGATTAATCCTTATTTTATTCTAATTCCATGGTCATCTGAAGCATTTAGGTGGTTGTGGTTTGGAAGTTTTACTCCAGATCACGAGCTAAATTGAATTTTATCAGAGCACAGTTCAGTCACTGCATCGTTCCTGGACAGGCTGTCAAGCAGTTTACTAGTACAAATTGCCCTCACATTTACAAGGAACTGAATTTTCTATACATAATAAAAACATAGGTACAGTGCGAATGATCGTAGAAAGGATTTTATGATCTATCACAACGAAAGTGGCATGCATCGTCAGGGAATCGAATCCGGATCGCCCGATTCACAGTCCAACGCTTTACCTACTAATAAGCTTACCGGATGGTTTTCTAAAACATTTGGCAAGGTATCATACATAAAATATGCATTCTGGTTTGATTAAAATTAACCAGCCCGCCTGCATTTAAAACAAAATGTGCTTGCAATTCATCTTTAAAAAACTTTCCAGTGTTTACCCTACGACCTTTACCAACATGTATATTTCCTTGTGTTTGCATCTTTATCAGTGTTTATTCCATACATGTGTAGAATCTTAAAACTATGTGTTAGAAAACATATTAGCAAAGTCTTAATTTCATTTTAAACACTTTGAAACACTTATAATGGCTGTTTACAGTACACAAATTACACATTGTGATAATTGATTTGCCAGTTAAAGATCATGTATGTTGTTATTGAGGCTGTGTACCCTAAGTTTCGTTTTCTACGTATATGGTTATGTTATAAATAATGGCCCCAATGAATCGTTTACAATAGAATACCACACTATCTGTAAATTTTAGCTTGGCATGATTGTGTGTAAAATCATAACTGGAAGTCGCTGTCAAAGAGTAGGCTTATTAACTCCCTCAACCATTTTTATTTTAAAATGAAACACCTTTTTAGAAGAAACGTTTAAAAAATTTCATTTTACATCATTGAACATAATAGAGAATTTGATCGAAACAAGCACTATAGTTTAACCATTTTATAAAAGTCATTATTGACTTGCAAAAATAAATATAAGTCTTTCCTCTTCCTTACCATTCAAACCATCTGGTTTTGTCTCTTTCCAAAATTATTGTTCTCAAAAATGTGGTATGAACAATAATGATCTCAAAATTTTCAAATATTATATTGTTTACACATAATGTATGAAATTCTGGAAACAAAGTGATCCCTCGGAAGCATTAATCACAACAAAATAACATAAGAATTGCAGACTCGGTTTGATTGAGTCTGTACATGAGGGATATAATGTATAAGTGCAACATCCCTCACGCCCCCTAGCACCGGCTTGAGCGGTACTCAATTCTCAACATCCCGAAGGACCAGAAAATATAACAACACTGTTACAATCATTTGCATTTATATCATTTAAAAGTTAAGTCCCTTAATGTATTTAAAATTGAAAAAAGCTTGCTTTAATGCACTCATATACTAAAAAGGAAATTAGAAAAAAGTTACATACCTTACTTCTTCAAACCCTATTTTAGTTTTGCTAGAAGGAGAGACATATTTTTATTTTGACCTTATTGAAAATAATAAAATGCTGAATCAAGGAGTTTTATTTAACTTTATAATAAAACTCCCTGTTTGAATCCAGGGTTTACATAACATTTATTTAGATGACTTATTGTACTCTCAATTTTGGTAAAAGATGAAAATAAATGTTCAAATTTGATGAGACAGACTATATGAAATATAAAATGATATGAAGTTAAACCCTTATACATTTTACTGATAAGTTGTTGATCATAAGAATTTGGAAAAGGCATTTGGTGTTCAGAGGAAAAAAACAACAGATCGATATAAATCAGAGCTATGGTAATCATAGGATATATTTACTAAGATATACTTGAACATTAAAAATTGCATTTTTATTTTCTAAATGTAATAATCATTATACAGTTACTGTCTAGTGGGTCGGGGACTCTTATTAAAACACCGTTGTAAACAGTTATAAAATTTATTCAACAGGTTAATACTTCAAATAACAATAATTGTCAAACAATCATGAACCATTAATATCAGTAAACAGCTCTCATAATAAGTCAAGACAGCTCACAAATAAATAATTTAGTACTGTTACGCCTTCAAAATAATATTTAGTACTGATGAACCAAAAATCTCCGTGTTACGTGTATCAGTTCAACTCCGCGGTGACAATAGTTACCAGATTTACTTCAATAA